TAGCTCAGCATTGTCCATGGTGACTGGCAGAAGATTACTAGGATTTCAGACACAGTATTTCCCTACCTGGAGATGCCTTGGGCCCTTCTGCTTTCCACTGATCTACACCTCTTTCCTGTTCTTCTGTTTGTTTTCCCTTCAGTTTTGTCCAGACTTTTAGAAATATGAATGAAGATTCAGACTAAGCTCAACAGATCTGGAGTTTTATTCTAGAGTTCCTTCCTTGCATTCAGTCAAAAGCAGACTCCTGTTTTCCCATTCATAATCTGACTTTGCCCTTCCCAGCTGGTATTAAATCTTGGGTGGACTTCCTTGTGCGAAAAAAAAAATTCCCCATCCCTGCTGCCAGCAAATTTGAATTAATCCTCAATAAGTAGCTGCTAACCTCTCCCGCAAACATTGTGCAAACAGAACAGGATGAAGGCTTAATAAACAAGTTGCCTGGAAGTGACTTTCGTCCACAGCCTAAAATTATATTTAACTGCACCCCCGCTGTTTTCTCCCACTTGTGCAACATGTGAACGCTATGGTCTCCTTATTTCTGCACCGAGGTTATTGGCAGACAAAAGCATCACCACCTAGATTTTATCCACTGAGAAGCATCCCTAGTTCCCTGAACCCCAGTAAATAAGCTACGTGGTTTGATAAGCAACTCACAGTTGGATCTTCGATCCCTGCATTAGCCACCCAGACTGTCTGGAGCAACCCAATCAGATGGGTATTATTATTATTATTATTATTATTATTATTAACAACTCATGGTTGATACATCTAGGTCTCTTTGTTAACTGTCCACCAAGTGTGGCAATTATCATGATAGTTTTAGCCTGCCAAAGCTATCAGCCATATGTTCTCAAGGGTAAGATAGTTACAAATCACTAGCCCTATCTGATGTATTTTTCGGGTTGGGGTGGGGAGAAATGTTTATTTCAAGCCACAGAAGCTGTTCTCTGATAAGAGACATCTGGCGCAACGAAGCAGAACTGCCATTAAGCTGCTTTGCATCTGTTTCCTCTTTCACTCATGTGTCCTCGTATGGTGTATTTATTTTTAATCTCCCCCCTACTCACCCAGCTGTAATGCTTTGTAATTGTGCGTACATATGACCTGGTCTACATATGCAGCCAAACTGGGGTGTGTGTGTGTGTTTGAGATAAAATAATCCCCCTATGGTAAAATGGACTGGACCATTTCAGTCTATAGCAATGGAGCCTGTTCTATTTGCACAAATGGGGGGGGGGTGCTCCAACAACTTCAAGCCTGCCCTCAGCCAGCCCCCACCTGCCTGTTTGCTTACTCAGAGTTTCAGGATTTGGTATTGCCTGTCTCCTTCCACCTCCTTAGAGTTGCCTCCTCGTAGAGCTCAGCAGGGAGGAGGATGGGGTCAAAGCTAGAACTAATTGGCTCTGCCTGTCATTGGCTCTACTGCCACCTACTGTTGGCCTTCCTGTCTTCTGCCCAATAAGAGAGCTGATGCCGTTGGAATACAGCAAATGTCCTCAGTAGCAATGAATGTTCTACAAACATAGGAAGCTGCTTTATCCTATAGTTACCATATGTCCCCATTTCCCGGGGACGGTCCCCGGATTTACAAATCTGTCCCCGGACAAAATCCATCCCCGGATTTCATTTAATGTCCCTGGATTTATACTTTAAGTGTTGTAGAATTAATAGTAGGGAATGAATGTTGTGTGGTTGGTTCAACGGCACAAGACACATCATATGGGGACTTCCAGCGGGCAAAATAGTGGGCGCCACGGCAGCGAGCAGCTCCTGAAGCCAGCCAGAGCCAACTGCACTACCAGGCTGGCTCCGGGCTGCTGAGACTGCCGCTACCGCTGCTGAGGGGAAACCAGGGACGCCCGGCGTGTCAACTCGGGGAACAAATCTGACCCAAAACTCGCACCCGGCCACCCAGCCAACTGCCCAGTGGCGCTCCAGGGCCAGTAAAAACCTCGGGGCTGATGCAGGGAGAAGGAGGAGAGGAGAAGGAGGAGAGAGAAAGAGGAAGGAGAAAAAAGAGGGGAGCCCCAACCTTGCCGTGCTGCTGCTGCTGCCGCTGAGGAAGAGAGGTAGGAGAGCACCAGGAGGACAAGGACACGTGGCCGAGCCCAAGTCCGAGCCGAGCCGACTCCACGGCGGATAGCGCTCCAAGAGATCAGGCCGGGGCCCAGAGGAAGGCCGTGTGACAGAGAAGACCACAGAAGAGATAATATTACTTCTTAATTTTTTAATTTTTTTTAATAACTTTTTTTCTCTTTTTTTTTTTTAAAAAAAGTGTCCCCGGATTCTTTGGGAAAAAAATCTGGTAACCTTACCTTATCCAGAGTTGTACAATTAGTGCCTCTGGCTGAAGTGTAAAATCCAGATTGCTTAGCCAAGGGCCATCATCAAACTATATAACAGTTTGTGTGGGTGTGGGTGTTTACAAAAAATGAGTTGGTTGGCAGCCATCTGTCTTGGGAGACAATGGAAGAGTGTGCCTTCAAACTTCTCTGAGTTATGCAAGCCCCTTTGCCACAGCAAGGCAGTGATCCAGCCCCCCCCTATCTTTGTACAGTATAGCAAAAGTCAGAGGTTTCTATGGACAGCCACCAGCCAAACTATTGGTTCAAACTCTTGGAGAGTTACAGTGCTTGCTGTGGCTGTAGAGAATGATATGGAAGAGACGTGTTTTGTTGCAGGTGGGGCAGATGAACGCATCCAGCTGCACTGAGCTCCCCCCAGCATAACCCATTGAAAATTCCAGTCTAGGTCAGTATTTGTCAAAGCTCTCTACAGCTCTCCAAAGGTTGTTGGCCAGTGGATGGGGATGATGGGAGTTGGAGACCAACAACATCTGGAAAGCAACAGGTTCCCCATCCCTGGGCCAAACCAACTGGAAACAGATCTCCAAGGCAAGCAGACACAAGGGCTATTTCCAATGCTGGCTCCAGGTTTGGGCAAGATATCTTCAATGGGCCCCTTTCCTTGACTGTCACTGCTGCTCATTCCCTCCACATCTGGGCCCAGTTTGCAGCAGCATCTAAAGAAGATACGTGAAACCATTTTCAGCCTGAGGGTGGCATTCCTTATGGGCAGCCTTCTAAGTGCTGTATGCCAGCCAGAGGAAAAAGTGGCTGGTGTAAGAGGTGTGACTCTAATCTTTGTTGTCGTCGTCGTTTAGTCGTGTCCGACTCTTCAAGACCCCATGGACCAGAGCACGCCAGGCACTCCTGTCTTCCACTGCCTCCCGCAGTATGGTCAAACTCATGCTGGTAGCTTCGAGAACACCGTCCAACCATCTCGTCCTGTCGTCCCCTTCTCCTTGTGCCTTCCATCTTTCCCAACATCAGTGTCTTTTCCAGGGAGTCTGCTCTTCTCATGAGGTGGCCAACATATCTGATCTTCTTGCAGTCCATGGGACTCTCAAGAGTCTCCTCCTGCACCATAATTCAAAAGCATCAATTCTTCGGCGATCAGCCTTCTTTATGGTCCAGCTCTCACTTCCATACATCACTACTGGGAAAACTATAGCTTTAACTATACGGACCTTTGTTGGCAAGGTGATGTCTCTGCTCTGGATCACTGCCTTGCTGTGGCAAAGGGGCTTGCATAACTCAGAGAAGCTATGAGCTATGCCTTGCAGCCCCCCTCCCAATCTTTGTACAGTATAGCAAAAGTCAGAGGTTTCTATGGACAGCCGCCAGCCAAACACATCTCCCTGTTCTCCATCCAGCAAGCAAGAGGCATTAGCTCAGTCAAAGGTCACATTTGAGCTGGGCAAAAGCTCTTGATGGGGACATGAAGCAGGACTAGTGTGAAGTGTAGCCTGGGAATAGTGAGGATGGGGAGCTCATGGCATGAGGTTTGTTTGTGTAATGCTATATCATATTTTTGCATTGTGTCTGAATGTGAAGGTTGTTAGCTGCTTAGGGGAGAGGTCTTTGGAACATGCAACTAGGCATATGCTTTGCAGCGTAAAGAAAAAGGTGTGTCGTGAAATAGTTTTTGTGCAGTTGAGGATATGGTACTTAACAAGGCTGTTTCTTAAAAAGAAATAGATGTGAACAAGGTTTTCACATCTTTGTTTCTTTTCCATCTTCACAACCTTTTTGTAACAGTATGTTATGGGACTAATTACATGAGTAGTCAAAGCCATTTATTGACTCATACTGAGTTCTGCTTAAACAGTATATGTTGGAATGCATCGCTACAAAATAGTTCAAAACAGAGAAAAGATTTGTGCCATGGGATTGTGCCATGGTGGTCTCTAGCCTTGCATTATGCTGAGCACCCCAACATTTATTTTGTGCTGAGATGGTTTCACTTTAAAAACTGAAAGTCTTGGTGCGCGCGCACGCACACACACCCCGCTGGCAGATGGCACAGATGTGTCCCCCATAACCCCTGCCCTCTATGTTTAGGACTGCAGCTCAGATTTGCTTTCACTGCAGTAGGACTGATGGGAATGGAAGCATTTTCTGGGCCAGTGGGAGAATTACATCAACTGGACGCTGCCTCCCCCCAGTCTGAATCAATTTAATTTTGCCGCTGCTTCACAATTCATCCCACTTATGAAGAAATTACTAACTCTGAAATCCCAAAAGGTTTGTTTATGGATTTTTCAGTGGCACGGTTCTCGGCCGGCTTTTCTCCACTGAGGATGTTGATGCCTTCCGCTATTATTCCGTCAAAGGAGCATTAGGGAGGCATTAAAACGGACAGGAAACACAGGGGGGATCTCTTGCGTAACGACGAGGGCGTTGGCTTTCCCAATTTCTCCTGGAAACTGGATTTATTGTTGGGCACAAAACCACAGCTCACAAAGGAAGAGGATTGTTGACGCATGAATGTGCATTGAAAGTCCAGTCACCTAAACAAACAGTGCTCTCGGAAGAAGAGCCCTCTTGACGTCACAACGCGAGGAAATTACTCATCCTTTATTTTGCAGAAATTAGGCTTCGCTGATATTTTCTCCCCTTCCCTCCAAGAGCTTTCCCAATAGGACTCTGGGCAGGGCCATGTACAGTAGGTCAGCGTTATCTATGCTTATTTGTTCTGTTCAAATATGAACTGGGAAGGCAGGAACACCACCTGGTTGCAGCTCATAGGGGTTAATATTTTCGTAGCTGCAGCCACACCAATCGCATCCTGATTATTCAATCTCACCAGCAGCATCAGCCTTCAGAGCAAAGAGAAGGGAGGTCATGAAAGCAGAAAGGATGGGTGGAACTGGAAACAGACATCCTTTATCTTTCCCAGTGAAGCAACTTCCTTTCAGCTATTTGGCAGCCCTCAGAAGTGTTTTCTATGGTACATGCCCTCCAACATTTCTCTGATGAAAATAGGGATGTCCGATTCATTCATAAATATACCCCACCTTCCAACTGGGTTGCACCAGCTGCTCTCGGCAGCTTCCAACATATATAAAAACATAGCAAAACATTAAGCATTGGAAAACTTCCCTCTATGGGGCTGCCTTCAGATGTCTTCTAATGGATGTATCTCCTTGACTCAGGGGTCTCATAACTCCATACCTGTCAAAATTTCACCAATGAAAATAGGGATGTCCTAAGGGAAAGACGCAGGTGGCGCTGTGGGTTAAACCACAGAGCCTAGGACTTGCCAATCAGAAGGTCAGTGGTTCGAATCCCCGCGACGGGGTGAGCTCCTGTTGCTCGGTCCCAGCTCCTGCCAACCTAGCAGTTTGAAAGCACGTCAAAGTGCAAGTAGATAAATAGGTACCGCTCCAGCGGGAAGGTAAAGGGCGTCTCTGTGCGCTGCTCTGGTTCGCCGGAAGCGGCTTAGTCATGCTGGCCACATGACCCGGAAGCTGCATGTTGGCTCCCTCAGCCAATAAAGCGAGATGAGAGCCGCAACCCCAGAGTCGTCTGCAACTGGACATAATGGTCAGGGGTCCCTTTACCTTTACCTTTAAGGGAAAGACAGACATTCCAGGATCAAATCAGAAACTGGGATGGCTTCTGTAAATCCGGGACTGTCCCTGCAAAATAGGGACACTTGGGAGGGTCTGCTGCTCAGTGGCAGAGCTTCTGCTTTGCATGCAGAATGTCCCAAGTCAAGTCTCTGGCATCTCCAGGTAGAGAGAGCCCCTTGTCCAAAGCGCCAGAGAGCCACCGAGCAAGATGGACCAGTGTTCTGACTCAGTATAAAGCAGCCTCCTGTGTTCTTGCTATTTTTCATACAGTTGTCCTACTCATGATTACTTTGTGGCAAGGTCAGGTCAAGAGTTTTTGAGCCAAGCACTGGGTCTTCCTAATAAAGAGTCTTTTATGAAGGTGGATGACTGTACTGGTATATTGGAGCTCTAGGTAAACATGGGAACAGAGTGCTTAAGAACATTATGATTATTGCTGTTTATTATGTCTATTCATCTGTCTCCTTGCAAAAAGTGTCCTAAAGCAACTTACAAATGGGTAAGATGCAGCTGACATGAAAAGAACTAATACTACAGCCTGGGAGTCATTTTGGACTCACAGCTGTCCATGGAGGCGCAGGTCATTGGGGTGGGAGCTCACCCCATCGCGCAGATTCGAACCACTGACCTTCTGATCAGCAATCCCAAAAGGCTCAGTGGTTTAGACCACAGCGCTACCCGTGTCCCTTTCACTGCCTGACATCAGGCAGGCCTGCTATAAAAACTTGTGCTGCAGGCCTGTGTTTAGAACCCTGCTTTACAGAACTTTATAGAACACTGTTGGGCTACCAGGACCCCTCTGCAACCTGAATTCAGTAGCATACCCTCCAACATCCCACTGATCAAAATTAGGACACTAAAATTAGGAGGCAGCTGACTTACACTAGAGTGCCAGATCAAAAAATGGGACATTCCAGGATCTCGTCAGAAACTGGGATGGGTTCTGTAATTCTGGGATGTCCCGCTCAAATCAGGACGCTTGAGGGGTATGCAGTAGTCAAGGTTGAACAAACAGTGCAATGAAAAGTAGATCAGTTCTCGATGGAAGACGTGGTTAGGATGGAATCATTACTGCTAACACTTTAGAAACTGGCCTCTCTTAAAAAAAAAATGAAAGAAAGCAAACTTCTATAGGCCACCCAAGTTTGGGAAAGTACAAAGTGGAGACAATGTGAGGTTTTCAGGGTTGTGTGCTTTTTAACAATTAAAAAACACAATTGCTTCATTGAAAAAGCAAAATGAACCTGGGAGGGAATTGCTGGAAAACGGTTTCTGCCCTAAATAAAAAGACACACTAACACAATAATTAAAGAAAGATGATGGCGGTCAGGCGCCAGCAGCCAAGTGAAGAGACGTTCCAATTTACAGCAGCTCTTGGCTGAGGAACCTTCTCAGGCTCCAGGTTTTCTACTTTTGTTTTCTTGTTCAGTCTGAATCATGCACTCTGCCTTATCCTTTCCCACCGATCGCCACACTTGTTTGCTTACGTCATTTAATGCAGAAGCACTAGTAAACATCCTTTGCAAGGCTGGGAAGCGCCTACAACCTAAAAGAAACTGAGTTAAGGCAAATTTGCATGAACAATGATTTTGCCCGCTGTGAAATAATAATTGTGTTCCTATAACCTCCCTCTCCTGCAGCTTGGAAAAACTGCACCAGCTCAAAAGGGAATAAACTGAATATTGGGGTCCCTCCAGAACCTTGTTTTATTGCGGCTTTATTCTGCAACATGTTATTGATGCAGGAATAGTGCATTAGTGATGGATTTATTTTGCTTTAAGGCTATCTGTACAGTGGTACCTTGGGTTAAGAACTTAATTTGTTCCGGAGGTCTGTTCTTAACCTGAAAATGTTCTTAACCTGAAGCACCACTTTAGCTAATGGGGCCTCCCACTGCCGCTGCGCCGCCAGAGCACGATTTCTGTTCTCATCCTGAAGCAAAGTTCTTAACCTGAAGCACTATTTCTGGGTTAACAGAGTCTGTAACCTGAAGCGTATGTAACCCGAGGTACCACTCTACTTCTTTTTGCGCTGTGTTTTCCAGCCATAGGCCCACACTTTAAAGCTCCCTGTCTGAGCAGGATTTTGTTTTATTTTGTCCTGGTGCTTTCCCTATACAGTGGTACCTCGGGTTAAGAACTTAATCCGTTCTGGAGGTCCGTTCTTAACCTGAAACTGTTCTTAACCTGAGGTACCACTTAACTAATGGAGCCTCCCGCTGCCGCTGCGCTGCCACCATGCGATTTCTGTTTTCGTCCTGAAGCAAAGCTTTTAACCTGAGGTACTATTTCTGGGTTAGCGGAGTCTGTAACCTGGAGCGTCTGTAACCCGAGGTACCACTGTATATATTCCCTACACTCAGAAAAATGTCATGTCATGTATAATATATAGAAGCTTCCCAAGGAAAGTTTTCACATGTCTAGTTTTTTCTTTTCGTGGGGGAATCATTCAGATATGCAGCCTCCTGCCCTCTCAACATCCTGCTGCCAGAAATGGTTCTATACTCCAGAAATGTCTTACCACTCAAGTTGCTCCATGGGTAGCCTGGCTTTGTTGAACTGCTCTTTAGTGACCCCGGAGCTCTCCTGCTTAGGAGACTTTTGCCAGCGTCAGCTGCACTTGTTTCAGTCCAATACACTTGGGTCTAGACTGATTTGGCATTGATGCAATTTGGCTCCGTCTCAACATCTCCTGTCTCCTTGTATTTACACACCTGCCAGCTCAGAGCATCTTCCTTCTCTTCTGCGTTGTTTTCTTAATGAGTCAAGGGTTGTTCACACTCTTGCACCATTGATCGAGCCCCCCCCCCCCCCGTCTCGCCCCTTGTGCAGTCTGATCTCACATAAGAGAAAGCATCTTGGTCACCATCCAAGATGAGCATGGGAACAGGCTGATTCACTTGTAATACCCTGCTCTGGGGGCAAGGATCACTGCCTTAGCCATCTCCAGGAACAAAGTAGCTGCGTTTGGATGTCACAATAAAACATTATGAGTTGGTGGGGTGTGAGACACCCTAAATTCCTGGGTCCAATAGAAGTTAAAATTAATCAAAGTTTGTGGAGTTAAACTGAGCCAAACTGCTTATGTTAAAAATACAAGCCAGGACAACCTGGTGATCCATTGCTGAGTGTGGATCATTAGGGGAACAAAGCCTGAGAATGGCAGTCGTTAACAGGACGCGGGTGGCGCTGTGGTCTAAACCACTGAGCCTCTTGGGTTTGCCGATCAGAAGGTCGGCAGTTCGAATCCCCGCAAGAGGGTGAGCTCCCGTTGCTCTGTCCCAGTGCCTGCCAACCTAGCAGTTCGAAGGCTGTGTGGAGAGAGTCTCTTCCTTTAAATTCCTGGAAGTTCATCTTAGTGAAGACCTTACTTGGAAGGTCAATACAGGTGGTGAGGAAGGCCCAACAGACACTTCATTTCCTTAGAGTCTTGTGAAAGAACAATGTTAGACAGCAACTGATGATTTCCTTCTATCGGTCCACAGTAGAAAGTGTTCTCTCATACTGTATTACGGTGTGGTACGCTGGTTTGACAGCCATGGACAGAAAGTCCCTACAGAGGGTGGTGAAGACAGCACATGATATCATGGGCTGTCGCCTGAGTCCGCTAGATGTTATCGCAGGAGACTGTTGCCTCAGATGAGCGAGGAACATTCTCAGGGCTGACTCACACCCTGCCAGCACCTTTTTAATCTCCTGCCCTCAGGCAGGAGATATAGAAGTATGATAAGCCGCACCAACAGGTTAAAGAACAGTTTCTACCCGTGGGCCGTGAGGCTGCTGAATGGAAGACAGCAACATTGCAGCTGACGTTCGGTGTTGGTGGTTGTACAACAGCACACAGAGTGTAACAAGGACTGAGAGATTGGGGGGGGGGCTCATTTAATCTCACTTCAAACAAGTGGTACAGTGACAATGAAGTATTTCTATTAGTTATGCTGGCCATGTGACCGGGAAAGCTGTCTGCAGACAAACGCTGGCTCCTTCGGTCTGAAAGCGAGATGAGCACCGCAACTCCATCGCCGCCTTTGACTGGACTTAACTGTCCAGGGTCCTTTACCTTTTACCTATGCGATTAACAAAGCAATTACTCTGTGCCAGATAGCAGAGAGGTGTGAGTCCCGTCTTTCTCTAGATAGGTAGTTAGGTAAAGGTAAAGGTACCCCTGTCCGTTAGGTCCAGTCGTGGATGACTCTGGGGTTGTGCGCTCATCTCGCTCTATACGCCGAGGGAGCCGGCGTTTGTCCGCAAACAGCTTCTGGGTCATGTGGCCAGCATGACTAAGCCGCTTCTGGCAAACTGAAGCAGTGCACAGAAACGCTGTTTACCTTCCCGCCGGAGCGGTACCTATTTATCTACTTGCACTTGACGTGCTTTTGAACTGCTAGGTGGGCAGGAGCTGGAACAGAGCAACAGGAGCTCACCCTGTCGCAGGGATTCGAACCACCGACCTTCTGATCAGCAAGTCCTAGGCTCTGTGGTTTAGACCACAGCACCACCCGCGTCCCAGATAGGTCGTCAGAAGGGGACAAAAGGCCAGAGTTTTTGGGATAACAGTTGGAAGTGATGTACTGGCAAAAACTGTAGCAGGCTGTAAAAAAAGAGACAGAGAGCATGGCTGATTTCTGTTTTGGATCCAAGGCAGCAGCACCTATGGGAGAATCAAGAGACACTCTTGGAGTGGAATGCTAGGAACCTCTCTGTTATAGACTCAGGTTGTATATATGTGTAAATAAACCATATATCATAAAGACATCACAATCTCCACTGTGCCTCATTTCCAAGAGGAAACATGAACCCCAGGTAAGCGTCTGGAATCCCTGGAATGTCACACTGATGTAGATATTGGGGTGATGTGTAACAATAGTTTATCGCTGGGCAGCATTTATAACCACCAGCACCTGGAAGATACTTGCCTGCCACCAGTGTCAAAGCAAGATTCAGTTGTCAATCTGGATGGCTTCTGTATGTGGAATTTGGGGAGCGAATGCCATCTCGTCCTTTGGCCAGCAAATTGTATTGAATGAGCCCTGGTTCCAGCTATGAAAAGACAAACCATGCACATCTTCCAGGGAAACACAGCTGGCATGAAATGACACAGGTGGCATGTTCTGGTCAGGGCAGATGAATGTAGGACAGCTATATTTCATTAATTGGAAGAGATGTCCACGGTGTATTTGGCAAACGCTGCAGCACTCAGTGCAATAGATGCACAGCATTTAGGTCAAACCAAGATAAGTCAAAGGGCTTCTAAGGCTAAAGGGATTTGATGTGACCATGTTTTATTGCTTCCCTTAAAAATCATAGGGTGGTCATGAGAGGCCATCAAGAGGCAATTCTACTTCCACCACAATGATCATTTTGGATTAGCTGTCGCTGCAAAATCTGATGCTACTTTTAACAACATTTGTGTGTTTTAATTTCTTCCCTACTCATATACATTACACCTTGCCCTCTTCTCCATTATATATATTCCTTCAGTGGGACACCGCCCTCCCCACTGCTGTATTTTGAGATTAGTGAGTGAGTTCCTGCTCCAATTTCCATCTTTTAATGCTGCTTTTGCCGTTTATTAGCACAGCCTTCTCAGTGGTGACCCCATGTGGGAGGCATCGCTGCCTGCCTTTGGGAAACACACATAAACTTACCCATGCCATCCAGCCTCTGAGGCAGTTGCTCAAAAAATTGTGAAATGTAGAATAAAAAAAAATCACAAGCAAATTACGGAATAGTAGAATCCTATGCATTTTTTACTTAGGTAGATCTCACTAAGATCAGTGGGCCATGCTAGTAAGCATATTTGAGATTGCAACCTAGGTTGCTCAGTCAATAAAATTAAAGGGTTGCTAGCCCTGTTCAGAGTACACCCATTAAAATTAACTAAAATGATGGAACTTGGGCCAATGGAGTTTAATGGGTCTACTCTGAGTACAATGTAGATGGATACAACCCAAAGATCCATTTCTTTGCATTAGAGTCAAGAACATTCACTACATCGTGTAGAGGCGGTGTCCATAACTTTATGTAGAGGCGACATGATAGCTTGTAAAATTATGCAGGGGCGAGAAGAAAGTGGACAGAGGTTTCCCTCTCTTAACCCTTGAACTTGTGGACACGCAATGAAGCTGAATGCTGGAAGATTCAGGATAGCTAAAAAGTGCAGTATTTTTCGCTCCATAAGACGCACCTGACCATAAGATGCACCTAGTTTTCAGAGGAGGAAAGGGGGAAAGCCCCTTTTTGGGGGGGATCAGCTTACAGTTGTGCGGCTTCTTTTGCAAAGGGGGAAAGCCCCACTTTTGAGGATCAGCTCACAGTTGTGCAGCTTCTTCTACAAAGGGGAAAAGCCTTGGTTTTTTGGGGGTTCAACTCACAGTTCTGCAGCTTCTTTAGGAAAGGAAAGGGAGCCATTTCTATAGTTTCTAGACAGATAATCAGCGAGTCACATGTTGCTGGGGAAACAAACAGAACATTCAACAATGGAGGCCTGGGCAAGGGGGCGGGGCCGGAAAGGAAGCCAGTGATCGACCACACATTTGTTCCGAAAGACGCAAAGACATTTCCGCTTACTTTTTAGGAGGAAGAAAGTGCATCTTATGGAACGGAAAATACGGTACTTATTCATGCAGCACAAAGTTAAAGTATGGAACTCACTCCTGAGGAGGGAGTGATGGCCACATAGATGGTTTTCAAAGATTAGAGAAACTAATGGAGGAAAAGGCTCTTGATGTCCACAATCTGCCTCCGTAGTTGGAGGCAGTAATGGTTCTGAAAACCAGTTGCTGGAGGCCACATACATGGAAAAGGCTCCTGTGTTGCAGGGTTCCCCTAGGCACCTAGTTGACCACAGTGAGAGCAGAATGTTGGACTACGTGAGACTTTGGCCTGATCCAGCAGGCTCTTATGATGTTCTCAGGTGTAGGAGAACATACAGTCTGAGGGACTTCACAGGGAGCCTTCTGGGAATCACATGACAGTGGTAGGTGGGCAAAAATGGGTGGATCAAAAGATGCGAGTCTTACCTTTGTACAGTTGGCTACATTCCAGCCATGTGAAAGTCGGAAATTCCTACACCACACCCACCTCTCTCTACAATCCATTCAGGCAAGCAAAGGGGCATCGTCACATTTCAAGGGCACTGTCCAGCCCCACAAAAGCACTCGAGGAGTGTAGGAAGCAAGACTGTCAAGGAATGTGGCCTGGAGAAGAGACCTGTGGGCTGGCTTGATGGTTGTGTTTGGTTCTCAGGACGGAGGTTCTCCACCCCTGCGTTACACGACAGCAGCAGTTAACAACAGCTCGTGATGCTTTATTATTTTAATGAAAATTTAAAAGGCAGGTTATTAATTATACAGACACACAAAACTGGTTTTGCTATACAGAACACTTAGAAGTACAAAATACAGTTTTATCCACAACACAGTTCCACATTGACACCAAAGGGCTCTAACAGATACGGATGCAAATGGTAGAAAAAGTCAATTAAAACACGCACACACACACACCATTGGCATATACTTTTAAGGGGCAAAGGTATGGCACATAATCTGAAGCTCTGAACTGAGCACTTTCAGTTCTAAA